ATGTGTGAGAAAAATGTGTCAGGGGAAAAAAAAAAGGCACCGGAGATATGAAAATGTATTAGTGGGAGGACAGCAAATAACGGGGGTACTGAAAGAAAACATGACCTCTGTGAGTCGAGGCAGTTGGACTCTTGGCGCTTACGCTGTGAGACATTGAGAGGTGTCTTCTCCTTGGAAGGAATAATCCATTTAAACCTGACTTGTACGGCTGTGATTGATGTACAAACAGAAGCGGCACTTAATAACCTCTATCATGCTGGGTGACCTCGTGGCCCACCGTGGGCACCAGTTTGTTTATGGGTGGTACCTCCGACATACTATCTGTGCAGAAATTCTGTTGTGGCTAATGGGCCGGACTGAGGGATTGGACTGTCAGCGCGGCGTGAGCCCTCATTTTTCTTTCCGAGCGTCTACGGTACGACCTGCGCTCCCTTCCTACACCCAAACCTCCCCGTTCTGCCATCATCTGTCAGCGTAGACTGAGTCCTCTGGAATATGGAGGCGTGACAGTGAGTGTCAATTAGCATTAGCTTCCCTGACAATTCTGTTTTTCTCATCACACAATAGCCTCGGACAGCTTGTTCCTAATTTCTCTCTGTCAAAATGAGGAGGAAACTGGATTTTCTTTTCAGCCCCGTTTCGAGCGAATAAATGGGACAATCGCACATGCATCAGCTGCTGCTTGACGCTCATATTTATAAAAGGACTGCTATRGCTTTGTGCATTCTTCAGAGGCAGACAAGAAAGAACACACAGAGAGAAAGAGATGAGGAGGATGTGACTTGCACTCTAAAATGCTTTTGTTTACATTGCCGAGATGGAAGCTGACCTTAAAGGTTATCTAAAATGTACATTAAATGTCAAACCTCCTGACAAGAGAGCAGGGCCTCTTTCAGAATCTAGCAGGACTCTGGGGGCACAGCGAGGAGCCGGAGAACAACACCGCACCACTGTATTGCTGCGTACCCCAGTTCTTTTCCAAGTCCCTCCTCTATTTGCCCTCTGCTGTGTGAAGATCTTTAGTCTTAATCAGCTGTATTGTTCTGTGGAGATGCAGTTATGGGAAGCGCTAAGCTGTTTATTTATTGAACAGGCTGTTTAATTCCTCCCCACCACTGCATGCTCGACTCTGCACACACTATCCCTTTGATGTGAGGGGYGCTCCCACTGGTGATGCAGCACACACTATCACAATAAACAGCAATAAGTTGTGGCCTTGTCAGCAGCAGCAGCATACAGTACAAACTACCATCCTGTTCTTCCTGCACACACTACAAAGCTCTAACGCTATTCTTTAGTATTGGTCATTAGAATGTATAATGAACATTTTATTTGACTTTACTCCAACTAACATTTGTTTAGTATCAAATAATCAACTAACGACCAGAAGCTTTCATAATACTTCAATCATATTTCTTGTTTTAGATGTGTGCAAAACCAGGATGCAGAAAGAAAACTGTGTTCAAACAGAGTCAAAAATAATTCTTTGAAGTAACTATTCTACCCATGGCAGAGAACACAAATGTGTAAAAATCCTGTCATTTATAAACACTTTCTCTACCAGTCTCCACTAACAAGTATATCTAACACTGCATTGGGATGCATGGCTGCCTGAAACATCTTGTAGCTATTTACATTCAGGGAACTTTCAGCTGGTTTAATGAGCACTGCCAAAGTCTGTCAGGCTGTGTAATCAGTGCTCCTTTGCGTTTAGTAATTCAGTGTCCCTTGGTGACAGCTGCCAGTTAGTTATGGTGCGGCTTTAATAAAAGCAGAACGGTTGATGGCTTGGCTTGGAAATTGCTTCACTTTGTTATGACTATTTAGAGAAAATAGCAATCTCAAGCAGATGTAGAGGATCTCTTTGTGGACGAAGGGTCTTATGTTGCCCCCCAGAGAAAAAAGAATTATTCTATTGTTTTTTTCTTGTTTTGAACAAATACTTACAAATCAAGGAGTGAAACAGAAAACAAATTAAAAACCCAGAAATCGCTCACTGCCAGTCATRCTATGTTTTAAAGTAGACATATGATGCTTTTAAACATTCCTTTTCACATTTATTTCATTCATTTGGGATCTTCATAGAGTGAAACGTCAATGCTTTGGTCTGAATTCCTCCTTATTTTAACTTTATCAGCTCCTCTTTCACCCGTTTTCTGCTGTGTGTCTCAAAGCAGCTGGTTGTGTTACTGTTCCTTTAAGGTGCTTCAAGCTCTGCCCCCTCCAGCTTCCAGACCGGTCCACTCCAGTTTGAGAGAGGGGGTTAGCATTTTTTAGCTTGCAGAAACGTTTTATTTTCAATTTAATTAAGATATGTCATCAAGGGAAGATTTGTCCATCCAGCCAGTTGGAGCCAGAGTCTGACCCAGAACCAGAGGAGAATGAAGAGGAGGGAATTGTAGTTGGTAAGTCCAGACCTTATTTGGCACTTCTTTTCTGATTCCTAGAGACAGTAAGTTCACAACAAACTGTATTTAATGTCTAAAAGAGTGGATTTTGTATGCTAAGTCTCCTTTAAACTAGCTTTTTATGAGCAGTCGCATGCAATGTCACCCGCTTCAGATGTTATCAGTCCATTAAATGGACGTTATTAGCAGTTATCAGTCCTATAGAATGGCTTCAGACTGTCATCTGGTTAGTATGAGGCATAAAGCCACTAAGGTTAATTTTAAAGAAAATTATCTGGGCTAGGTTAAAGTAGACCGGCAGATTATTGCCTTCCAACGTACTAGTAAGCACACAGCCTGAAGCCATTCTATGGGACTGATAACTGTTAATAACATCCATTTAATGGACTGATAACATCCAAACTGGCTGCAATGTTGCAATATGTCACATGTATTTGTTGTGAAAGACTCTCAGCTACTAYCATACCAAACGTTTTGTTCCGTATCAGTACAATTCACTGAGGTTTAGACTTTTTTGTGTAGGCTAACAATGATTAGCAGTGGTGCGCATTTTGAATTTGAAGATTTTATTTAAGTCAATAGTCTTATTAAAATTCTTACTTGAGGAAACATGAGTGTMTGGTTACTTCTGCACCTTGTTGATTTTTCTAAAAAAAAGCATAGTGGTCAAAATTCTCTATCACAGACTTTTGCTTGTTATTTGAAAATAGTTAGCAATTTTCTTCACAATGGGCTATATCTGGTCAGCAAAGAAACCTACATGGATGAAGCCAAGTGTCTGCCTGCTGTTGGGTTTGAAAGAAAAAATATATATAAAAGTTGTGGTTGATAATGCTTCATTTTCAGTTTGCAAAACAGCTTGAATTGCTTTCGTACAAACGTCCTTCTCAGGTACTTAAAAGCACGCTCAAAATATCTCAGATGTGGCTGTGCTCATTTACACCATCAATGTTTGCAGAGACCTTGTTAAACCATAAAACAAGCTGTAGTGAAAAATAAACTATCACACCCACACTGAAAGCTACCAGAGAGATTAGGTTGATATTTAAAAAGAAAATCTCAACAAACACTGAGGACAGTATACTGCAAATATATGGAAACCCATAGAAAAATACGTTTTTTTTAAATAAAAAACTCAAATAACTACATATACAAACAGACATTTTTATTTGCTTTTGTTGTGCACAGAAGCAACTTCCTCTTTATTGTATTTAATATTGGAAAATTCAATAAAATCATTTTTTATATCTTTAAATTACCAAAAAGTAATTAGAACCACTTCAGGTATTTAGAGATCTGATTGCTTTAAAAACTACATATGTGTGAATACAATGAGGTGGCTTCCAATGACAAAATCAGCAGTTTGTTTATTTGAAATTGTGCTTAAGTTCACCAAAGTTGTGACTCTTTAATGGAACTACTTTGCTGCTAATTGTCAGCTACAGACAATGAAAATTAGCATGTTAATTATACTTTACACATTTGGCACCTGCTGTGATTATTGGCGCTGTACTCTAATTCAATCCATGGCAGAAACTTTACGCTGGAAAAATTAGAATTTTCTATACAGCCACAGCATCAACAATCCTCCTATTTATTAAACGTGGTTAAGAATCAAAACTCCTCATTTTGTTTATGTTTAATGTGTTTGGAATGACTTTGGACAAGTGACTTTGTTTAAGTGCATGGAGCGACTCTTTTTCCAGCCGTGCCTTGCAGCACATTCAGCTCGGCCCCATGAGAGAGCAAAAGCAATGTTCAGGGTTTATTTTGTTAACCTTMGTCAAAACTGTGTCTTTGTTCATAATGTGAATTTTTCACAGTTTAATGTGATGTCTTAAATATGTATCCACTCCGCTGAAAGGATGTTTGCAGGACGGATGCAGATTAAATGGAGAGAAACTAAAATGAGGGTAAATAAGTAAGATCGTCAATTTAAAGGCTAAGAATTGCTTGTAAAAATGCACWTGACCCACCTCCTTTCATGCTTTAGTTTTAGATTATAAGATGCCTGCTCAGAGTATGTGTTGGGAATGACTCTCAGCTACTTCCACATTCAATTTTAGCTAAATGTACGTTAAAAATGACTGCATTAAAACAGTTTTACWGCAAAAATTACCCATCTAACTGAACCTTTTAATCTTATATCGAAACAAAAATTATTTTTGMTCTTTGTTTGAGACTGATAAACTAAACAAGAGCATAACTATTAATCTTGTTAGTCTTTCTTTCAATAACTCTTACCAAGTGCAGTTATCTGACTGCACTGGCAGATTATTGCACTTAATTTGAGAAGATTCAGATTATAATCTAGTATTTTCAACTTGTGCTTAGATGGCTAATGTTTGTAGCGTTCTGTTTTTTTAAGGTTGGTTGTAGCAACCATTTTGATTTGGAGTGACTTCAAAAGTTAATCAGTTGTAGATGTTCATCCAATTGTTACTTTGTGGGAGTTTCATTAAAATGTRTGAGATATTTTGGTGAACAGGCAGAAACACAGACACCGACCAGGTTAAAACATGAGGCACATCCTTCACTTTTTGGTGTCTGACAAAAATAAATAGTAAAAAAAATAAGAAATATCAAACTTACCATAAATGCCTGTGGAAATGCATGGGAAGGCCTGTAAGAAAGAAATAAATAAATAAGTAAAACACAACAAAACTGCCAAACAAGTAAAGCATGCACATCATTTCATTTTTCATTCACTGCAAAAGGCACCAACAGTAATAAGTTTCCATCAACAAACTGATGAYGTGCAGCAGAGGAATTCAGACCTAATCAACTGTGTGTCTGCATATTTCAAGTCTGCATCGTCACTGCAGGACACGAACTGTTTACCTCTGGATTCTGAATGTTTACCTCCACTGTTTCACTTACTTGTTCCCAAGAGAAGCAATTTRCAAAACGTCTTCCACAAATCCCTGCAAAGCTAATGTAGACCCAYAGTGTGAATAGTAATCCAGCTCCCAGTACAACACACACACCGTTTATGTTATCTTTTTATCGTTCATCAATATTTTAAGTGTGATTAGCTGAAGACGTGTTTTTGCTGTACAGGTGTGTTGACTATATGGAGAACCAAAGCTGACATAATTAGAAATAAAAGCAGGATTATATAAATGGACCAATAAATAAATAAGTACACTTAAAATGCACCCATTAAATAAAAAAGGAGAAATTTACCTCATATTTTAGAATTTAATTGATCTTTATATTTATTTTTCAAGCTTAGTTCCAATAA